TTCTGTATATAGACCAACCCAAATAACATGAAAATACTTTTAAATGTAAATACTTGGACAGAAATCAGATACTACAGTCACAAGAGCTGTACCTACCTAGATAGAAAACCACAGGATATAGTTTTTTTCTTGAGCATGAAAGATACCTGGGTGAAATGTAGGTCAGTAGAACAAAATGGCGTCTAATGAGTAGTATGCATTAGTAAGACACTGAAACAAATGGCTTCTTATTAACTAGCGCCAGCTCTTGAAGAGTCAACATCAAATGGAGTCACAGGAAGCTTTAAAGTAATTGAAGTGCAAGGTCCAGACAACGTTGTGATAGCATAATCGTATCGTTAGCCTTCACCATCATATCAGACCAACATCATGACAAGCACAGATCAGCGCAATGTCTAACTGTCGTATCAGTTATTCTGTGACTTTCTGCCATTCAACTTGGCAGAATATTGCCTCCTTCTGTCCTCTCTTCTGATGAACAGAACAAGCTTGAGTACATTCAATCAGCCCATAGGACCCCACAGTCCAGCCACAGGAGGGCACAACAGAACATTGTTCCCTATTGGCAGGACCCTCTGTATTCTTTGGCTGCACAAGAAGCCTGTGTAGTCACCTGGAGCTGAAGAATTGTGCTTCAGAATCTAAAATTGTATTTTAAAAAGCCTGTTTCCAAGGCCCATGCTAGTGGAGGTAAGCAGCCTGAAAAACTCAGAGGGGTGTGAACTGCCACATTCATCTGAATGGGTGTGAATACTCACATGGTTTAAATGTCATTTTAAGATGTCACTACTGATTTTTTTTAGCAGAAATATCCAAGTAATGTACATATCCCACAATCCTAAATTGCTCCTGTCCGTGTGCCACAAGCTCCAAAGGTATCTCACATAGCTGCCAAAACCCGGTTTTGTGTTGTCTGCAACGTTTTGATAACTGGAAGCATGGACACTATGTAAAATAAATTGTATTTAATTAAAAATAATGGGGGCCCTACTCTTTTTACTGTCAGGAAGGAGTTAAAATTCAGCCAGCAGAAAAGACAAACAGCTGAGAAGCAAGAACACTAACAACTGTAAACAATTAATAAGCTTATATGGTCACTGCCCGCCCAGTAGAACAATGCTAACCCTCTCTTCACAACCCACTGGATGTCTGTAAGCACTCATCCCTCCCCTCCCCACTATGCCTCCTTCCCCCGCAAGGTAGTCATAGATGGTTAATTCGATTAGAATGACCTCTATATGTACGAACTGTTCTTATTTTTATTTTTGTTCAGGGTTCTCTCTTGACTTGTAACAATGTCTGTCTCTGTATGTACAAATAAATTAATAAAAGAATGTATATAACTGGCCACTATGGCACCATATTTTCGAAGCTGCTTGTCAGTCTTCCCGATACTGTAAGTAAATCCCCTTCAGTATTGTCTGTGCTTGCCTGATTCTTGGGGAAAAGAATCTTTTTGCCTAACATTACTAAGTGTTATTTTTCATTTTTACATAATTAAAAAAGTCAGATTTTTTAAATGTAACTGAAGCTGGCACAGAATTAAAGTCCAGCTGATGGCGTTTTGTCTATTGTACATTTTCTAACATTTTATCCAGTATAGTTTTGTATGTGCCAAGTGATGAACCTTCTGCCACTTCTTTGAGATTATTTCATAGCCTTACAAAACTCACTGTCAAGAGTTTTCTTAATATTTATTCAATTTAAGGACTCTTCCCTAATTTCACCTGGTTACTCCTAGTTATATCCCTGTGCTCCACCTGTGAAACATGTTACCTCCCTTCTTCATACAGCTATCTGTAATTTAATGCCCTCCTGCTCTCCCCCAGTCTTCTGTCTAACCAAGGTGTATAGCTTATTTTACTCCATAAATTAATCCTTCTAGGGCCTATAATCATTCATTTTTGGTGCCCCTTTGACATTCTCTGTTACTCAATGTTATCCAGGTAGTAAAGTGCCTAGAAGTTGATAGGATAAGACCAGGCCGTACAGAGACTATTAAATCTCCATGCTGTCATTATGTTTATATAGCCCCAAGTTGCAGTGACCTTACTTTGCTGGTATATTTCAATCATGAGTCATGTCTAATTTGCTGTCCGGTATTATCCTCAAGTCTTTTTCAGCATTACTGCTTTACAGATTTTTCTCCTGTTGAATATACAGGTCTTCCAACTCTATTAACTCGCCCTTCCATTTTTCCAAGACATTGTTATTGTCTACCCAGATTGCTAATGCCTCTAGGTTCCTTCATATTATTGCTCGGCCTATCCTGATGGATGTTAACAACCTTCCTCGATTCAGTGCATCTGCAAATGTAATTTGTGTTCAACTTTACCCTGCCATCCTGATCAATAATGAAGATGGTACATAAAATGGGAGCTGCAATATACCACTACACACTCCTTGTTTCCTTGGGACAGAGATTTGGCTCTTTTACAACCCCTTCTGCTGAGCAGTAATTGTTCTTCCTCGATGTGTTTAGAAACTCTCTTTCTAGGGTAGTTCCATTATTGAACTGGGATTGAAGCCAGATTTACTCAATGGTAACTGCCAGGATTATGCTTTTCTTTTCCACCCACTTTTGAAGGTTCAAGGAAACTGAACAGATCTTCTACTTCTGGTACCCCCCTAACCCCCACGTGCATGTGACTTTTCATAAATATTAGCAACAGTTCAACAAGTGAGTAGGTGAATGCTCTTATCTTTTAGGACAAATACATGGACTGAAACGTATAAATTCCACCACCCCATTCACTTACTGTTAAAGAAACTGCTTGTTTGCTCATGAAAGTGGCCTTCTACACTTGAAGGAAATAAAGGACAACTATATGACAAATAGGACAGTCTACAAAGTACCTGTCAAGGCTGGATCCCCACTTTGAACTTTAGGGTTCAAATGTAGGG